TCTCTGTCTCTCCAATAAGCACATGTACCCTATAACAAAAATCTCTCTTAAAAAAAATGAACCCCTGGGTGGGCCAGCAGGTGGCGGGAAAGTCAGGTGGCTGGATCCCACAAGGCCAACCACATTGGTGGCTTGAAAAATCACGTGGCTTGTGTGTGATTGCATGCCTAAAAATCCTGAGAGGAGAATAAATGAGAAGGGATTGTGGCATGGCCATCCACCCCGGAGGGTGATTTCTTACTTTCCTTTTCTCTTTATCTCTTTCTCTCTCTGTGAGTGATTGCATCCTTTAGTAAAAAAAACCTGAAGATAAAAAAAAAAGGAGCAGGGGAGTTGGAGTGTGTTGTTCCTCTACGCGAGATCCTCCAAGGCAAAGTCCTACAATGGTCCATGAGGACCAACAGGCCCAGACAGGACTCCTGCCCCGGGTCCACATCTCTGGCTCCCTCTCTCCAGGCTGGGCTTTGCTGTAGTCATACCAGTCTCCTTGCTGTGGCTTAAACCCACCGAGCACAAACCTGCCACAGGGCCTTTGCACCTGCTGTGCCCGTTACTGGGAATGTCTTTTCTCCGCAGCATTTTAGTGTGTGTCAGATCTCAGCACAAATGCCCTTTCATCGGTGAGCTCCTCCCGGACCCCCATATAAAACAACTACTCCCCCACCATTCCCAGTCTCTCTGCCCTGGATCATTGTCTGTGACACTGCAGAATTTGCCATGTCTGTGGTCTCTTCACCCCTAGAAGAGCTATTTTGCTTGGCACACAGAAGCCACTCAATCAATGTGTGTCAAAAGACCAAATAAATAAATAAATGCATCACACTGTAAACTGCTCCCGAGCAGCGGGGCTGAGCCTTCCAATGCCACACAGCTGGAGTGTGAACATGCCCACAGCACGCAGCGAGGCCAGCCCCACAGCCCTGGGAACAGCTCACCAGCATTTGGTGCACTCCAGAAAAATACTTAAAATGACGGCCGGAGATGTCAGAAGGAAAGTACAAAAAGGCACAGAGATAAGAGTGCCTAAGCAGAGTGGTGCAAGAGTGTCCATCAGAAAATTCAAGTTCTTCCATTAAGATTTGGCTTTTTTATCACAGACTCAGAACCAGTTTTATGCGGCACTTAAAATCTGACATTTTCAATGCCCTTTCTATTTAGCTATCTCTTTGTTATGATTCGATTTTTTTCTAAGAAAAGATGGCATTAGCAAACCAATTACCCTGGCCCTCTCCCATCCCCAAGCAAGCAGGTAAGTTCAGTACGCGGGGACGGGACCCCCGGGCACCCAGAGCCATATCCTGCAAACGTGTCGGCGGCCCCACCCGGCCTCTTGTATGCCCAGCACTGCAGAGAGGGAAGGAACCGTCTTGATCTTGCTAAGTTTTATCGGCCTCTAAAAATTCAAGGACGAACTGATAGCATAATGCACAGCCTCATAGACTTTGCCTTTGGAAAGATAAGAAAATTCATCCTAAGCTCTTGCAGACTTTTCTGGGCACTGGCGTGCTCTGGAGATTAGAATGGGCTGGGGGCAGGCCTTCCCTGCAGGTGGTGGCTCAGGATTGTTAAGGAGTGTGAAGGGAACACGTGGTAAGGCTGGACGGGGCAGCAGCCTTGGCAGCCCTCCGTTAAATTAAGTTTGCTAAATTCAGTTTTCTTTCCATCGCCAGTTTTTTTTTTTTTTTTTTTTTTTAATGCCAGAGGATGATGTGACTGTACGGGAGGGGGAGGCACCCGTCAGCAGGGCCAGGTCATGCTGCGGTCCTATTTCCTGCAATCTTCTATCTATCAGGATCCTTGGGCATGTCTGGGTGACTGATGTGTTTTTCAAGTCGGTGGGGCTGGAACCTGAAACCTGAAACCTGGTCAACCACATGAATGGGGCTTCTTCTGCATCTTTATTTTTAATTAAACATTTTAAATATATATGTATTGTAGGGACCAGCAGGTGGCGTGGTGGTTAAGGTGCTGGACACTCCCACATAGCTGACCACAGTTCGAGTCCTGGGCCTGGTGGCTTGCTTTCTCACTTTCCCTCTCTTTCTCTCTCTCTGTCTCTCTCTCTGGTCCAGTTAAAATAAATGAATGGATAAATAAAATTAAATAATTCTTAAAAATATATTGTGTGCTATTTTTAAAAAATTGATTTACCTCTGTCTTCTAGGAGAGAGAGAGTCAGAGAAAAAGGGAGACAGAGAAATGAGCCCCTTAACAGGGTCCTCACGCCAAGACCCAGCCCTAATCTGCGCTGGCCCAGATCGTGGGCACACGTATGTGTCCGCTGTGTGAAGAGAGGTCCCGGATGCAAACCCAGGGCCTCTCTCATCACCTGGCCCTTGACATCTGCATTTTAAAGGGGGTTCCCTGAAGACCAGAAGAACCTCAAATTCAAAGGGCTTTTTGGCTAGGAGAAAAGGAAGCCTCTACTATTTAGGGAGTGCTAGCCTGTGGCAGACGTTTTATATGCATTAATGATCCTGCTGAGTTCTCACAGCACCTCTGTGAAGTGGGAATTACCATTCCTACCTTGGAATGGGGAATCAGGGACTTCCAGGCAAGGCATGATTCTAGTTCACACTCTGAGGCCCTGATTGCCGCCTTCTCTGTACCAAAGACGCAGCAACAACAGATGAAAATATTTTAAGAACAACTAGTAAACTCATTTGTGCTTAAATATGAGACATACATCTCAATGAATCAGGAACTAAAAATATTTACTATTTTGAGAGGCTGAAGGCATAGCCTGCTGAGCTCGGGGTCCAAATGCAGGGGGAGGCAGCTGGGAGCTTGATGTTCCAGGGTACAGGGACTAAATGTCCCACAGGAGGTGAGGAACCAGAGCTGCAGGCCTGGCGGGAGGAAAGCGAGCTGTAAAAAAGCAGGGATGCACCTCAAGCCTAGAGCCTGTATGAGGAAGTGAGCTTGGAGGAGAGCCGGCAGAAGCACACACAGCAGGGGCTGGTCGGCCGCCATGGCTTGGATGACTGGCTCAGGGATAATCCCATTATCACTGTGGAGAGCAGCCCATCGTTAACCCAGGGCACCTGGCTCTGCCCGGGGGACCTGAGACCCAGCCACAAGACCATGCAGCAAAGAGCTGAAAAGCTGCGAGAGAAAAGAGAGAAACCAACTCCCACTCAAGAGGAGTGAACAAACCAAAATTCCACAACACCCTAGGAAAACTCATGTTAACGAAGACAACCAACAGGCCCAGCTGTGCAGGTGGAAGTGGGAGGACACTGCTTTATGATGCTGGTGTCACACAGGAGGCCTGGGTTCAATTCCCTGGTCAGCCTGGACAAGTCAGGTGATCCTAGCTAATCGGGAAGCTGGGCCAGGAGGGTCATGACTTGGCAGGACCTTGTCAAAATACCTAACTTGGGGCCAGCAGGTGGTGTGGGAGTTAAGGTGCTAGATTCCCACATGGTTCAAATCCCAGACCTGGCAGCTTGAAAATCACACCGGATATGTATGCACGTGCCCAAAATCCCAAGAGGAGAATAGAGAAGAAGGGACTATGGTGTGGCCATTCCCTCCCTCTGTCTGTCTCTGATGAGCACACACACCCTATGGCAGAAATCTAAAAAAAAAAAAAAAAAGCTTCTCTCTAGGACTTGCTGTGGCCTGAGGGTTAAGGCAGCTGCATCTCACATGGTGAGCTACGTGGTTTGAGTCTCAGACTCAGTGGCATGTGTGTCATGCACAAAATCCTGAAAGGATGGAGAGATGAAGAAGAGACTGGTGTGACCATGCCCCAGGGTGGGTGCTTTTTCCTCTCTCTCTGGCAAGTACATGTGCCCTCTAGCAAGAAAAAAGAAAGGAAGGAAGGAAGGAAGGAAGGAAGGAAGGAAGGAAGGAAGGAAGGAAGGAGAAATCTACCTCTTTACCTCCTCCTCCTTCCCTCTCTTCTTCCCTCTCTCAAAAAATAATAATAAAAAGAAAGGCAACCAACAGATTTAAAAAGCAGGAAATAGCCTCAAAGAAAAATGGGATGAGCTGGAATGCAGTCCTGAAGAATTCACCCAGAAAGTATTGTAGAAAGATAAAGCCATAAACAGGGAAGGGCAGTTGGGAGCTATGAAGAATGAACCAAGAGGCTCGAAAATATTTCTGTGCGATTTCTAGAGAGAAGAGATGAAATGGCAGAATAGCAGTATTTAAGAATGTCATGGTTGAGAATTTTCCGGCACTGAAGACGTTTTAGGGATCCTCAGACGAGAAGCACGGATCAAGCACCAAGCAAGATAAAAATAAATAATCAGTCCTGTATCTGAAGAGGCATGCACCCTCGGCGGGCTCGATTTGCCCCCGCTGCCTCCCCAGGCCCTCCCAGGCTACCTGCCAGGTCCTGCAGTTTTGGCTCCATTCTGACCCAGGAAAGCCCGGGGCCCAGAGTCAGACATGCTTCTGGCCCTCCTCTACTGCTGCCTCTGAGTCCTTGCCGAGCCTCAACTTGCTTCTCTGAGCCAGGGCTGGAACTGATAGCAGAGGGACTTGGGGGTGGCATTGTCACAGTGACCACGGCTGCACGAGACTTCCAGCTCCCACTAGCTTGGCGCCCACAGGACTTAACCCTCTGTGTCTGTTTCCCCACCAGGAGAAGGGGATTGGAGTCGCGCCCCCGTGGGGCTGTGTTGGGATGAAGTGAATTCATACACGCGAGGGACTTAGCACGGAGCCAGGCACGCAGTCAACGAACACGTCCAACCTGGGGCAGCTTTCCCATTCCCAAAACAGCAGCCCCCATCCAGCGTCCCAGGCACACACACGTGCGGCGGGCTTCCACTGAGACCACAGACCCAGGGCAGAGCAGAACCAGGGCGATTTGCCACCGCTGCACAGGGGAGACAGGCAAGCCAGCAGGCTGCTCCTCCCCACCTGCCCCCCTGGAAACCTCTGCAAGTGCCTCCTTGACCTCCAGAGAAGCCCCAGCAGCAACCACCACCCACTGTCCGTGTGTGAGTGCACCCAGCTCCCACCCCCAACTCCAGGGGCCGTACCTCTCTTTGCTCACTGCAGATCTTACACAGCCACAGGGGCCGCTTCTGGCCGGGGGAGGCCTCGATCCCACATTTGGTGCAGACTTTCTACAAGAGAGAGAGGGTATAGGAGCATAAATACTTCAGCTACTTTCTCCCTGGCTGAGGGGCCACAGCGACTGTAACCAAGGGACACTTGGGCATCCTCTAAGAGGCTGGCTCTTCTTCCAGGCTAGAAGGGCAGCTTCCCTCAAAGGCACAATCAGGCTGGCCCATTGGTCTAGTGGTTAAAAGAGCCAGATTCCCCGTGGGTGACTATGGGACTCAAGTCCTCCCTTGAGAAACATGCTGAGAGAGAGAGAGAGAGAGAGAGAGAGTGTGTGTGTGTGTGTGTGTGTGTGTGCTCAAAATCCTGAAAAGATGGGAGAATGGAAGAGAAGGGGTTGTGGCATAGCCATGCTTTCTCCCTCTTCCTCTCCCTGTCTCTCTGTCTCTCTCTGGAGAGTGCACATACCTTCTGCTAAAAAAATTAAATTAAATTAAAATGGCACAGATCATCTAAAAATTCTTAGCTGGCTTTGGGGTACAAAGATGTTCCCATTTCCATAAAGCTCCATGACGCAGACTTTCACCACCTCTATAATTATGTTCTGTTAGGATCCCCTCAAAAATTAAGCCTGTGGGTCAGCAGGTGATGTGGAGGTTAGGGTGGCTAGATCCCACAGAGCTGACTATGCAGTTTGAATCCCAGATCTAGCAGCTTGAAAACATGCCGGGGGTGTGTGTGCATGCATGCCCAAAAATCCCAAGAGGAGAATGGAGAAGAGATTATGGTGTGGCCATCTCTTGGGGAGTGGAGGGGGGTGATTTCTCTCTCGCTTTCTCTCTCGCTTTCTCTCTCTCTCTCTGTCTTTCTCTGGCATGCATGCACCCTATAACAAACTGAACAATGACAAGCTTGCTGATAGTCACAGCTGCCTTGTTTGTAATAGCAAAGACCCAGAGTCGACCCAAATGCCCAACACCAGGAGAAGAGCCACGCAAACACAGCACAATGTGACGAGGCCTTAACAGAGCAGATCGTGCTGGAAATGTGGGCAGGAAGTAATGGGATTCAATGGAGAACACAAACATTTGTATATTTGCAAAAAACTCACATATGTGCCAGGCAGGTTAGAAGACATGATGGAAATACTCTTGACTATCTGAGCACTTTCATTATGCTGCACCCCTTCTTTTAACAATCCTAATTCTCACCCCCCTTATGGAAAGGTTAGGGCCACTTTACAGATGAGGAATTTGAGGCTCAGAGGAGCTTGAGAATGGACCCGAGTTCGCACAGTGAGAATTGGAGTTATGTCTGGCTCTAGAGCCACGGTATCATTTTCTCTGGAGGCGTAAAGAGCCAGCACCTAGATTCTGCAGTGTTTTTCCTTGTACAGAGTTGTTTAAGCTCCTGCATTCTAAACACATATTTTGCTTCCCCTAAATGCACAGCAATAAGAGTGGTGGAAAAGGCCAGAAGAAACACCCTGGGAGGCAGAGGTGAATTTGTTGGAGCTGAGATGCGTTGCCCGATAGGCGGAGTCTGAATCAGCGAGCGACCGCGTCTCCTCCTCAGAGGACTGTCGCACCGGCGTGCAGGGAATCAATCTTTCTGCCACGTGGAAGTGGCCCAGATCCCGTGGGGTGGGGGCCCTCTCCAGCCCCCTGCCGAGGGAAGGCTGGATCTGTTGCTTGGCCTTTTCCACAGGCTGCCAACTGAGCAAGGAGCACACCTCTCCGTGGAGAGGGAAATGTCACTAGCTTGGCTTCCCAAAGCATGTCGTCACCACCTGATTGGGGCTGAGCCCAGCCTGCGGGAGGGGCGGGGGCAGCTCACACGGAAAGGAAGCTCTGAGACCTTTGCCCAGGGTATGAATCTGCTACCATCCAACTGCTCAGGCACAAGAAATGTCACCACCTTTTATTTCTCCAAATAAAACGGCAGCGAGTCCCTCCAGGTCCCAGACATGGTTGGAGCCCCTCTCCGGCTCTTGTGAAGGTCCTAGATTTAGGTCTTTGATGGTCCAGTACATCTGGGTGCTGCCCACTGCTGTCTGCTTGTCTGCCAAGCTCTCATGTCCCCTAGCACAGAGGGGCCACTGTGCCAGCCTTGGCTTTGGGATCGCTGCCAGGCTGGAGTTGAGCCTTGCAGGGACCAGCAGCTTGTTTTCCCGGGGCTGCAGGCTACCATTCCTGGTGGGGCTGGAGGCTCTCCCCTCACCCTCACCCTTTACCCCGATCATCCTATCTCTAGGGCAGGGTCCCCCATAAGTCCACGAGGTGGCCTTTCCTCCCTGGGTGAAGGAGAGCAGGAGCCCAGAAGCTGATTGGCTGCTTTCCTTGCTCAGTGCCACCATCCTATAGCGAGGCTAGACAGTGCCCGTGAGAAGGCGAGTGTGGCCCTGTCAGGGAGGTGAGGTCTCCCGAATGCATGCTGTGCGCACTTAGAGGGTTCAATGGCGGCTCACCCTACAAATATGTTGGGTGCTCTGCTCCCCCCCCTCAAGGCTACTGGATGAGATGATGGTTTTGGGAACAGCACACTACAGCTACCGTTTGTGGGCCAATGCTGCGTGTCAGACAATGCGACCTGGTGACAAAGAATGAAGGAGGCTGTTACCTTCCCCACGATGTGGACGTGGAAATGAAGGCTCAGAGACGTTACAGACTGTCTGAAATCACAGACTAGTGGGTGGCAAGGCAGGGTTGTCTTCCAGACCTCAAGAGAGCCAACCGAGTCTGCCCCTTCTCTGGAGCCAGGCAGGGTCCCACAGCCTTCTGGGGAGCTGGGTCTGCTCAGGTGGGTCCCTGGGAATGTGGCTGGTGGCTCTCAAGTGAATGCACAGAGAAGGTAACATGGGGTGATCAGGGCACAAGCCTTTGCTGGGCATGTGGGTGTGGCCAGCCCATGCTCATCGGCTTCTAATGTTGGTTCCAGGCTGGGGAGTCTGGCTCAGCCCTCCAGGTTCGCTTGGCAGAGAGGAGAGGCTTGTAGCCACAGGCAGGAAGCTCAGCAGGCTTAAACCCTGGCCTCTCTCAGGGGGCCACCCTCTCCTACACATATAGCCAGGGAGAGGGGACAGTGCAGCCTCTCCTCATCTTAGCGCCTGCTGCTAAGACAAAATGCCATAGACCAGACAGCCTAAACAACAGAATCATACAGATATTAATATTTCTCACAGCTCTGGAGCCTGGAATACCCGATCGGAATTCTCGCATGGCCAGGGCTGGTGAGGGCTCTCTTCCTGGTTCACAGCCTTCTCACTGACTCCTCACATGGAGGAGAGAAGGCTCTGGACTCCCTCTTCTTGTAAAGTCCCGATCCCATCATGGAGGCCCCACCCTCACAGCCTCATCTAAACATAATCACTGCCCAAAGACCCACTTCCAGATGGTATCACATTAGAGGTGGGGATCCAACTTGTGGATTTGGGGGGGATATAAACATTCAGTACAGGGAACCAGCAGTGAGTGTAATGGCTATGTCGCTGGACTCCCATGTAGTCGACTGCAGTTCGAGTTCCGGACCCGGTGGCTTAAAACCCACGCCGGGCACGTGTGTGTGCGTGCCCAAGATCCCGAGAGGAGAATGGAGGAGAAGGGATTGCGGTGTGACCATCCCCCCTGGGGGGTGATTTCTCGCTTTCTGTCTCTCTGTCTCTCTCTGTCTGTCTGGCAAGCGCACGTGCCCTATAGCAAAAACCTCTCAAAAACAAAACAAAACAAAACAAAGTTCAGTCCACAGCAGCCCCCCACCAGAACTGGGTCCATCCCCTGCTTTCGCACATCAGAAGCCCTAGAAATGGGTCCCTTGCCACCTATGTCAACCCTGGAGTCATTAGAGCGGCCAGCCTCCTGGGCACTCCACCCCACACCACCCTTCCCTCTGTCGCCAAGTTCGAGTTCCTGAAACACTGTTCTCAGCTCGTTAAAGGCAATGTGGCATGGTACGAGGGACAGCTGTGGGCGAGGCAGGTCGGGGAGGCTTCTTGTACGAGCTACTCCACGCCTGCCCAAGGCTCAGATGTTCTCACCTGTAAAGTGGGAGAAGAATATTTAAACCCTTGGGTTGTTCTGACGATTAACTGAGATACACAGAAAAAGCAACCAACACGTAATAAGCACTCAATAAATGCCAGTCACTGTTATCAGTAGTGACGCCCCTGGCACCGGGGTCTGAAACCTTGTGTAAGTCTCCCTTAGACGGGCGCTGTCTAATACAAACCGGTAGCTGCAGGCGGCTATTTAACTAAATTACAATTCAATAAAATGAAGAATTCATTCTCGGTGACACACGCTAACCACATCTCGACAGCGCGTGGCGTGGGTGGCTCCCTCACGGTGGCGCAGACACGGGGCGTTTTCAGCGCTGCTGGGAAGTCTGCTGGACGTGCTGGCTGGAGGACCTCCGCTTCGGCCTCAGCACTCAGAACTCACAGTCTGCCCCACTGGCCTGTCCCCGATGTTCCCCACAACACTCACATCCAGTGCTTGCCCGCGTCAGCCCATCCTGTCTCCACTTCCGCCTGTCTGCTCTTCCCCACCCTCCGATGGTCACTAACCATGTAACCACTGCCTGCTGGGGGCCCTCAGGGAGCCTAGCCTTGCATGAGGAGAACCCAGATGAACAGGGCGAGGCCCAGGCCTCCTGGGCACCTTGCTTAGCAGTCGCCCTGCCAAGGCTGGGAGGGTGCTCGGCTGTCTTGCAGGGTGACAACCGAGTGGGTCTTCAAGGATGGGCGGCCGCATGCCCTTGATAAGTGTCATCTGACTGAGGGGGCTGGACAGTGGCGCAGTAGTAAAATGTGATGCTCTGGGAGGATGACCCCATGGGAAAGCTCTGGGTCTGTGCCTGGAGACCTCGCTGAGTACTGGGCACACGCATGCTACCATCTGGGGCTGGCTCAGGGTGGGAGTGAACCCTGCTGGGGGCTCTCTCTCTGTCTTCCTCTTCCTGTCTTTCTCACTCATAGAAGAAATTACTAAATAAACTTAAAAAAAATCCTCTGAATGATTAGATACCTATGCTGTTGGGGGCAGGGAAAGACACAGGAGAGGCTGCA